TAAGATTTGTGGGAGATTGGGGGCCAGTACAATGCAGGTGTGGAAAAAAGTATTTCTACAAAAGTCATCATGGTACTCCCCTAATGGGAATGATGGATTTATGATCTCCCAGAAATGTTGCAGTTCTGGTGCTTGTGATTTTTATTCCTCCTGTGGCTGGTAAAGAATAGAATGAAAGAAGATTGTTCTCAGAAAAATTTGGTGGCAATGCAGTATTTTCCAACGATGGCAAGAGCACATTTCTTAAGTCAAGCAAAATTAAAATGTCCTGCTTATATGCCATATAAAAAGGAGGTCTATAAACAAACAAACAAACAAACAAAAAACCCTGCCTTATCCTAAGTCTGATCCTTGGTTCATCTAGCCTGGCACTGTCTTCAATAGAATATGGGGAAACGAAAACTTCTGAGATCGTACTGGTTAGGGAAATTCTGGGATTTATAGTCTAGGAAAGTAACTTTTCCCAGATACTGGCTGACACTCAGTATTGTAGTTACAGATTCATAATCTAGAGTTATGGATCTATATTCATTCATGCTAAGTAGTCAGGCACTCAGTAAGTTTGGCTATGCAAGATGCTACTGCATATAGGCCACAATGTTTACTGTGGACACAACTGACCTATCCAACAATAGCAGGCAAAAAACATGTGACAAAGCCATGCTATTGTTTTGACACCATGCCCTATATCCAATTGCTAGTTCCAATTAGAATACACCTGCTGAATCAATTCATGGTTGCTAAGTCAAATTTATTTTTGTTAGTTAATGGTTTGGTTAATGGTTCTTCGGGCCATTCCAAGCATTAGGGATATTATATCCCAGTTTCTCCTGGGAATTAGTCCCCACCCCCAATCCTGGGTTTCCCTGTAAGGGTTGGGGCTACATGCCCTGCCGAGTCAACCAGAGGTTGACCTGGTAGGGCATGTAGCCAGCCCTCAGCCCTCCATTTAGTCTCTAAGCTTCCCTGAGGGGCCTGGATGCATGCTCAAGCCCCTCCGTCCAATGCTCCTGGTGCATCAAAATTATGTGTCGGGAGGTTGGGAGGAATTTCCTCAATAACCCATGACCAATCACATGTTTTAGGGCCTGTGTAGAAGGGCCCATTATCTCCAAATCCATAGTGTTCACTATTATCTGCAGAAGGGAAGATGCTGTAAGACTCTCAGGAACATGTTCATTCCTCTTTTATATTGGTGTTCCTCACAGAGACATACAGGGAACAAACAGGACATTCGTGGTGAGTGAAGTTAACATTAGCAGAAATACTGAAGTAACTGAACTGATCCCAAATGTCCCAGGTAGCTGGGAACAGAGAACTCACAGAGAGTAAAATAGTTTAATCAACCCATGTGCTGTTTGTATAGAGGTGATTTAGATTTAGACCTCCACAGATTTCTAGATTATGTGAACAAAGAATGTTCCTTATATACAGAGAATGAGGAAGTATAAATTTAAATTCTGGGGATTGCATTCAACCACATTTAAAGTTATTAACTAACTAGCAATTATTATAGGTCATTGGATAATAATGTAGCTCTTATGCCCCATGAGTGTTTAAAAGTGATGAAAAGGTTTTAATGCGATTGAAGCCATAAGAACAAGATCGTGAGAATTCGCCCATATTGCATTAAATCTTTTCATCTTTTCATCATATGCCTTTTCATCTTTTCATCATATGCCTTCAACTGATAATTCTTGGACGGTACAAACAATATTAGGTTTGTGATTGTTTCTAGGGGTATTTACTGCTCAGTCAGACTCTTAGAAATTGAGATACCATACAATAACAAAACTATAATTTAACTCCAACCTTTAAAAACCTCATAGAAATAATAAAATACTACAACTTCCTTGTTGTATAGTTGTTCATCCACATCTGCAGATTACACTTTTGCAGATTTTATTAAAAATGTTCTATTTAAGGGCCCATCCAAACAGGCCCAAAAACTGGGACCTGTCTCAATTTTCCCAGAGATGTCTGAATGGCATCTTGGGTAAACTCAAATCAATTTGAAACAGAGCAGAATTTTCCTGCTTTATTATAAATTAAACAAACACCTGGTAAGATCCGGATCTTAGGTAAGATCTGGGTCTTAGGTAAGATCTGGGTCTTACCAGATGTGGGCCCAGTGTGTATTGGCAATTCTTGGAAGGAACAGTATTACAAACAATATTGATCCCCAGTCCAATCCACACAGCCATCTCGGTCATGTGTCCCCCTTCCCCAGTCTCCTGGTGTGTCATTTCCTTGCACCAGGAGGGTGCGAGGAGGACCATAATGGCAACAGGGTGAGTTTTAAAAACTTTTTAGGTATTCTTTTGAGGGTCTTCAGGGTGGCTACATGCCATCCTGATAGTAATTGGAATGGAATGTAGATCCCTCCTCCCAGGAAAGCCCAGGGTTTTTTTTTGGGGGGGGGGAGCGGGTCTGGGGACTTAAACCAGCACCAAAATGGGTTTTTCTTAAACCTGCTTCAGCATGCATTTCAGTTATGTCTGAAAGTGCCTTAACAATTTCTAGGTCTTCTAGTGCTATCCTATGGTCATCTTCAAAAGTTGTCCAGAGAGCCATGCTGGAGGAGTTAGGGATTCATAGAGAGAACACCTTTCTAGAAATCTCTAGGCCATCCAATATTATTCTGTGTTCAAGTTTTGCCAAAGGTTCAACTTAGAGTCATGCCAAAAGATGTAACGATGTTTAGATAGGTGTTCTCTTATGTTAAACGTATGGTAGTTTTTTTATTTGATGTTTTCCCACTTTTGTGTGAGTCCTGCACCCCTAACCCCAGTAAATGTGGAGGTTATAACATGGTCAGCACAAATATATACATCCCACTCTAAAAGTAACTTCAATTGCCAGCCTACCCAATTACAGACAAGCTGGGCAGAACATACCATAAAAACCATCAAGTCTTACACAAATTTGCATTTTTAGCGAGTGTTTGTCCTCTTAAGACACTTCTTGGATTAGCCAGCTTCCTGCTTATGCATAAAAGCTAGTGTGCTGCACAGTTTGCACAGTTAAACGAAACTGATATGACATCTGCTGGTGAAACAGTGACAATAATAGTATATGTATGTCTGATCAATTACTCTTTAAAAAGGCTCAGAAACAAAGTTCCATAATCTTTACATTCTAAAATAGAATCTAAAGCTAATGTAGCAAATATTATTCACATATTTTTAATACCTATATTTTGTGAAACCCTATACTGCTACACAGACCTGCAGAAGTGGCTGGGGACACTGCACATTGTGATCACAACCAGTTCCATAGCTTCTGATGCTAACAGCCTTAACATCAGGCCTGGAAAAGTCATGGTAACATGCCTTCTAATATTTTGCAGATTAAAAGAGGGACACTGAATTCATAAGGCATATGGCTAGGATGTGATTCAAAAGGTATGGTCTTCTGCAAAAGTTACATGGCCAGGACTTCTTCACCAGGCAAGGAAGAAATAAATGTATTACAGAGTATTTTAAAAGGTATGGCAATGGCAAAAATTGTTTGTAGCACTGCCCTCTGAGATGGAGAAAGTGAGACTGTTTATCTTCCAAAAAAGAGGCCAGATCGGGTGATAAGTCACACTCTCTTAGCCTTTGTGACCTTCTATGATGTCATCTGGAAAGAAATATGACATATGAGGAAAATCAAGGACTATGAAAACCCCAGCTCTACTATCCACTATGAGTTAAATGTTGTATCAGCCCAGTATTCGGCTTATACCTAAGTCAACACGTTTTCTCATTTTATTTTATTTTTTGTGGTAAAATTAGGTGCCTCAGCTTATGTGCAGGTCAGCTTATACTTGAGTATATATGGTAAATGCTGCTTTTTAAAAAACATCTTTCAATTGCTACACAAGATACCACTAGCTACAGTCTTCTTCATGACATGTGTACACAACTGGGGATCATGTCTGCATGTGTATTGTCTTTGAAATTGAGAAAGGGGCTATTTACAAATTACTCCCACAATGTCCACATGCTGCAGCAACTATTCAGTCCAAAGATAATGCTGCTGCAGCTGCTTCCTGGTCAGGAAACAGAGAGATCGCCAGGCAGCAGTGGTCTGGAGTTAAAGTGAATGACAAATGGAGTTGATCTAGCATAGTGGTTCCTAACATTTGGTGCTCTGTGTGTTTTGGTCTTCAGCTCCCAGAATTCCTGCGAGTTGGTTAAGCTGACTAAGATTTATGGGAGTTGAAGCCCCAAACACCTGGAGGACCAAAAGTTAGGGACCATTGCTCTAGTAGATTTCGGGAAAGAATCTCATTACATGTCTCCCAGCTGCTGCAGCTTTATTTAGTCATGTCCTCGTCATCCATCTCTCTCACTGGTTTCAGGAGCCTCCCCAGCTTTTGGCAGGTGCCTTTGTGAAGCTGAGATGCACAGAGCTGTGTATGCAGAGCACTATGCTTTGCTTGCTGCCATATAGGATCTCATCCACTAACTGTTGTACCCATTGTACAACCTTGGCTTCTGCTCCTTCAATGTCAAAAAAACATGTGTAGTATTGCTACAAAGCTATTTGGCAAGGGAGAGAGTTGTGAGTCAGAGGCTTTTACACTGCCATATAAAATCCAGATCTGTTTTGAATCAGATCTGGATATGGCAACAGGTTGGATTGGATGGCTCACAAGGTCTCTTGCAACTCTATGATCCTATGATTCTATATGGCAGTGTGGACTCAGATAATCCAGCTCAAAGCAGATAATGCAGATTATCTGCTTTTATAATCTGTATTATATTGCAGTGTAGAAGGGGCCTAAGATAGCAGTGCTTGTCCCTATTTCCAAGTTCACCACTGCAACTCCCTCTTGGTCCTGTCTTCTGATGCCCTTTCTACACTGCCAGATAATCCAGGTTATAAAAGCAGAAAATCCACATTATCTGATTTGAACTGAATTATCTTATGTCCACATCACACAGCCACCAAAAAAAAGGTTCACTTTGCTTTGTTTCACTGCAGGGTGTGGGGAAGCTCCTACCCCTCACCTCGCCATTGCCCTCCTCCTACAGCTGCTGATCCCATGGGTGGAAGCACAGTGCACTTCCCCCCATTAAAGTAAATGGCAACGTGGGAAGCCTCCTGTGTTGCTGCGACGGTGTTCTGGTTTTGCTCTCTTTCACCCATGGAGCTGGCACAATGTCATCTGATGGGAGCCAGCCGGCTCCATGGGTGACTGGTGTTAGATTGGTGCATGATGCTAATTTTAGCCCCATGTGATGAGGTTGTTAGACTACACTGCCATATAATCCAGTTCAAAGCAGATAATGTAGATTTTACATAGCTGTGTAGAATGGGCTTGAGTATTAGGAACCCTCCTAATTATACCTGTCTAAGGAAGAGACTTTATGAAAATGTATTTGCTTAAAGATGAAAGATAAGTCATTGCAATTTCATGCTAATGCTATCAGCCTGGTTTGACACCCAGCTGCCCATAGTGACTATGTTGATATTGCCTGCCTGAAAGAAAGAGACTAGGCATTGTGACCTCAGGATGACATTGTTTCGGAGTTGCTATTAAAACTGCCTGCCTATTGAAGAGGCTCTAGCTATTGTGATGCCATGTTGATGCCATCTGTTTGATAAAGAGAGACTGTATCCTTCTGCCTGAATTAACACACTATTGTACCCTTATGCTGCTGCTTATATCAAAGATTGAACCATGGACTCTAAATGTCCAGCAGTTATATGGATCCTACCCACCTGAAAGAGAGTACAGTGTTAGGTCAGACTATGGGCCTTTCTACACTGTCATATAATCCAGAACAATCCAGAACCCACATTATCTGCTTTTAACTAGATTATCTGAGTCCACACTGCCATATAGCATCATAGAGTTGGAAGAGACCACATGGGCCATCTAGTCCAACCCCCTGCCATGCAGGAAAGGCACAATCAAAGTATAATCCAGTGACAGGGTATAAGAATAAATAATAATAATAATAATAATAATAATAATAATAATAATAATAACTACTACTACTACTACTACCACCGGTGGGTCAACTGGAATCAAGATCATATTGGAGATTGCTGATGGGAGAGGATGGAAGCTGCATCCTGAGTCCGTGTGATGCAGCCACATCTACAGGAGAATGGGCAGTGCATTCATTACTGGGAGTGGGTACTGCCTGGTAAGGCAGTATTGGGGACTTCTACAATCCTTACGTATTTCCTTAACTATATACTTAGGGGCTGCGAATACAATTCCGTAACTGTGACTGTGAACTGCAGCCATCTATTGCATCAGTGTGTTTAGGTCCTATCCTGATCATACTAAAGTTCTTTGCTTCAAAGGCTCCAGATGGACCAGCAAAAACACTCTTTTCTATTTCCCCTTTAACATTTTGGCCGTGCCAGAGTTTAATACTTTGGTCAATAATACTTTGGTCAATATTTATGTCAGCACATGATTTACATTTTGTATTCCCAAATTTCTAATTCTTATTTGTAAGATCTTTTGAAATGAAAGAAATATACAGATACAGATAATCTTGTTAAAGACAATATAATGCAAGAAAACATGAAAATATGATTTATTTGACAAATTTCAAGAGATGTTATTAATTGTTCAATTTACTATAACAATAAGAATAAATGAAGCAATCACAGTATTAAAGCATAGCAAAACTCTGAACAATTGACATTATAGAATGAAAATACTACAGTGAAGATATATAAGGGAACATACAGCAACTGCTCACAGTACATGTTATCAATATTTTGGGTTCATTGTTTTATGCCGGGCATTTAGTCTCCACACAACCACACTCATCTATATGAAGGTAGGTGTATTTCATTCTCTTCTTTTTACTGCAAATCAGCACTACTCTCACTTCATGGTATTTTGTAGCTTGGCAACATGTGCATCTGTGCTTCATTTTGTGAGTGACAAAGGAATACCTGGCAGGCAGAGAACATAGAGAAGCATTTTTATTACAATCAAAACACCACAAGACAACAGGTAAGAAGGACCTTTGAGAGCAGGAAATTTTACCTTCTCATGTCTTGGATGAAAAATTGTCATTTTGTACCATGTTTGCACTGCTAACTGTGGTTTGTTTTTTGTTTGTTTGTTTTTTTACTTCCCTACTGCTAAAATGAGGTGGGGGGGGGGGAGTCTATGAGACACTTCATCTCTGTTCTCCCCACATATCTCTTCACATAGTTTCTATGAATATGCTGCAGATACCAAGGAATGCTTAAGGCTGATTAATATCATCACTATCACAGTGGTTCCCAACCTTTCTAATGCCATGACCCCTTAATACTGTCCTCCCATATTGTGGTGACCCCCCAGCCATAATATTATTTTTGTTGCTACTTCATAACTGCAATTTTGCTACTGTTGTGATCGTATTGTAAATATCTGATATGCAGGATATATTTTCATTCATTGGATAAAATTTGGCACAGTAAACTGATACACCCAAAGTTGAATACTGGTGGGGTTGTTGGGGGGGGGGGGCGTGATTTTGTCATTTGGGAATTGTAGTTGCTGGGATTTATAGTTGACTTACAATCAAAGAGCATTCTGAACTCCACCAACAATGGAATTGAACCAAACTTGGCATACAGAACTCCCATGACCAACAGAAAATACTGGAAGGGTTTGGTGGGCATTGACCTTGAGTTCTGGAGTTGTAGTTCACCTACATCCATAGAGCACTGTGGACTCAAACAATGATGGATCTGGACCAAACTTGGCACAAATACTCAATATCTCCAAATGTAAACAGTGGTGGAGTTTGGGAGGAAATAGACTTGACATTTGGGAGTTGTAGTTTCTGGGATTTATAGTTGACCTACAATTGGAGAACATTCTGAACTCCACCAACGATAGAATTGGGCATACATCCCACACAGAACTCCCATGACCAACAGAAAATGCTGTGCTTTTTATGGTCTTTAGCGACACCTGTGACAGCCCCTCACGACCCCCCCAGGGGCCCCAACCCCCAGGTTGAGAAATGCTGCACTATCATCAAAAGAGGAAGGACTGCCTTTTTTTTGCAAACACAGTGACAGACAAATCTACGTTATTTCTAGAGGTATGGATGTTTCTGCCTCCTTGGCTGAATCATGGATAAGACAACAGTAACGAAACAGAAGGACAAAAGGCAGATTCCCACAGAATTATTGAAAAATTGCAACCTGCTTTACATACAAAAAAGAACACACGTCTCCCTCATCTATCAGAAGAGCATTCTGCTTCTTTCAGAACATAGAAAGGTTATTTATCCCAGAATTTCTCAGCAAGCTTAGTTACTGCCTGTACTGGACTGAGGATACTGGAAATTTTAATTGCAAAGAGTAACTTTTTAGGTTCTGGAAAGAACAGAATTCACTGAAATATGCACAATTCTCAGGGCTGGTTGAATGTGTTAACAGTCTGATCGCTGATTAAGACTGGATGTGCTTTATTATTATTGAGATTTTTTCTTTACCCAACTCACACCTAAAGTGGGACATTGGTGGAATTTGCAACTAGAAATCGATACATCTCTAAGCTTGTAGCATGTTTGGTGCAGTGTATATTGGCAAAAACTACATTCAATTCTAAAATGTGTACAAAGAGAGAAAACTTCTGGCAACTGGAAGTTGTGTCTCACTACTGTGATTTAGATGACAGAAAAACAATAGCAGGTAAAATAGCATCTTACTTACACAGAATATGTGTCACAGAATCCTTCACAAGAAGGTATCATGATAGGAGTGATTGATTTACACCGATCATAATAGATGTATTGCTTCTTTTGAGTAATTTTACAATTATGTGACAAGAGTACACCTGAAAATAAATGTGGAGGAGACCACTCAGTAAATGGTATCTAAGTTGCATCAGACATATGATGAAACACAACATGTGTATGGAACACTTTTATTTCACTAGAAAAAAACTCAGATGTAATTCCCTAAAGGCCAATTGAAATCTTCCATAGTACCTTACAAAATCATGGGCCCTTTCATACTACATAGTTATAGCATTATGATTCCGTTTTGTTTTTCAAGAAATCTCAACATACCAATGCCCCCCCCCCCATTTAGTTCAATTTCACTGGAAAAAAGAAGGCACACAGGGTACTTTGTGGCTGCCCACACACACTCCCTCCTTCCCCCTTCACATGGGGCATCACAACAAGATGTGTTGGTATCCTGTTCCTTCCCCCATCAGATGGGGGAAATTGTGGCAACCACATTGGTGCCCTGACCCTTCTCCCTTTAGATGGGGGGAAAGGCCTAAAACTGTGGGTAACTCTGTTGGAGCTACTCAAAACTCAATTGCCTTATCGTCTTTGGCAAGGAAGCATCTTGCCAACCTTCCTTGCCACTTCGGCCATCAATGAGGTGGGGCACGGCCTGCATCATGTGATAGTGCTCAGCAGGTTCCGTAGCTAAAAAGGAGCAAGGGGCCAAAAATCCCATGTGTGGTGAGATGGTGTTTCTGGAGACCCGGGATTGGCAATTTCAGATCTTCTGGGGAGGCCCTGCTCTCTGCCCCACCTTTATCACAAGTGAGGTTGGTGGGGACGGGAGACAGGGCCTTCTCAGTGGTGGCCCCTCACCTGTGGAATTCACTCCCCGGGGAAATTAGGTTGTCAACATCCCTCCTCTCCTTCAGGAGGAAGCTGAAGACATGGATATGGGACCAGGCATTTGGGTAGTCTGGCAGGGTAACATGGTAATGATGACTAGAGTTGGAAAGGACTGTGGCAATGCGAAACGGATTGACGGATTTTAGAACACGATGAACGCAGGCTTTAGAGCGGTTTTTAGTTGATATTGTATTGTGTTACATTGTATTGTATTAATTGTCTATTTTTAATCTATTGTGTTTTGCTATTGCATTTTATTGTAATTGTGGGCATCGAATTGTGCCGGATGTAAGCCGCCTTGAGTCCCCCCTAGGGGGTGAGAAAGGTGGGGTATAAATGACTGAAATAAATAAATTTAAGGAAGGGCATTTAGAATTCTCCATCCAATTCCTCCTCTGGTGCGGTTGCAAACCACGAACCCAAAGACTCCATAGGATGCATGTACGGCAGTTGAAGCAGAATCAAAGTACACTAACTGTGTCTTTATTTCATCCTCATAAGCAAGAATTGATAAGTTACATAGTTTTAACCTTGTTGTGCACGAACAAAGGATTTCTTCCTAGTATTTGGTTGCTATTTCCATTTTTGGGAAGATTTTCAGGGAATCCTTTTGAATAAAAATACACAGGGCCTTTCTGTGAAAAGCATACTGTTTTCCTGTCCAGAAAACACATTTTCTGAACTAAATAAAGCGTGTGTGTGAGAGAGTGAAAAAATGCTATTTGATAGGCCACTATCGTTAAGAGGACTGACTACAATACGATAAAAACATTGTTACTGTTGTGTGTCAACACATTTGTTCCATGGCTAGCTCTGATAATACAAGCTTATAAAACCATGCAAAAATCTGGTAGATTTATTTATCAGAATACACAAATTGCCCCCAAAGACTTTCCAAAATACAATAAATCTCTTGGATGCTCTTTTTTTGTTTTATTTTTATTGTTTGGATCTCCCAGGTGTCAGGAAACCCTTTCCTTTTTTTTTTTTACCAGAAAACAAATGCTAATGAATATTATTTCCATCTCTGCTTCTAAGATGGATGTCAAGAATAGAACTTCCTTCATATGTACAGACTGTTACAAATAAAATACTTACAAGTCTCACAACACCCATCTGGAGTAGTCTGTGTGGTTCCCTGTTTTGAAAAGAAATATAAATATTTACTTTGGTCAATAGAAAACGTCTCCTGCTATTGAAGCTGACCACTGAATTTAAGTTATAAACTTTGCAAACATGAGTAGTGATCATATAAGCCTCAAGTAGGGTTACCACTTCAATCGTTGCAAATCAGTACAGCTAATAATAAAAAATGAGAACTACAGTTCAACATGTTCTTCACTCTCACCATAGAACATCTAATATTTCCATGTAGTGCATTATAATCAAGTTTTAGCTACTCTGTACAGAGGAAATGGGACAAGCAACTATGAAGACATTTTCAGCAGTATCTGAGGGACCTTCCAGGCAGGTCCTATATCCCAGGATCTGATCCCAGGTTTTCTGCTTTAAACTGGATGATATGAGTCCACACTGCCAGATAATCTGGAATAAACCAAAAACCTGGGATGCAATCCTGGAATATAGGGCCTGTCTGGAAGAGCCCGACTGGACAAGAGATACTTCCTTTTTCTGTTTAGATGCAAACTTCTATATCCTACCAGTAGGCAATTTATTTCTTGCTCTTTAAAAATTCATTTCCCTCCCAAAAATGTTTTGGATTTCTTCCCCCCTCTCCCCAATGCACACAAATTTAATTACGATCATGTTCTGTCTTCTTAATGTTAAATTCTCTCAAATTAATTTCCTCTTTCAAATAACTACTTTTTGGAGACAATAAATATTCTGAAAAAGGATTCTAAGGGGGAAATGAAGCCTTTGTTTCTCTGAATTGCATAAGAGTAAAATGCCTTGTTGTTGTATCACTTATGCCATCTCTATTCACTTAGCCCTCATTAGCCATGCAGCAACCATCTGCTCAATTAGACTGGAGAAGTTTGAGAAACACCTATAAGAAGGATGAATATCATGATACACCCTGCCTGAGCAATTATAGAGAGGGGGAAATCTCTTGTGACTATATTTTACTGTCACTGAAAATACTATGTTAAATTTATATCCTGAATATAACTTGCATTTTTTGATGAAACTCCTCAAAAACAAACTGAAAAATTCTTCCCAATCTGCATCAGTCAAATTTGGTATTTACAGTTTTCCTTGCATTGAGAAGACCTGCCTGCCTTCCTCATACAGAGAAAAATGTATTGCCATGTAGATGTTAAAGATGAGGAAAACCTCAAAAAAAAAAAAAAAAAGGAATGGCAACTCCCTCTGAAAGTCTAGGTATGCAGCTTAGGAATACTTCTACACTTCTGGAAGGTTAAATGGCAGCTTTGGCTGGCAGTGCCTTTGACAGTTTTGGCCATACACCAGTTTCACTCTTTCCAAAGAAAGCAGATTTTTCCAATGTGGTTTGTGCCCTCATTCCTCCTGATTCGATGGGATTTGTACTGATTTCATATTTATGTTGATGTGTGTGTGTGCGCCATGGTGCATTTTGTGTTCAGAACAAGAAATATATATTAAAATATTTCATTTCAGCTGGACATAGACCATTATTGTTAAGAAGGCTGACTACAATATGATAAAACATTGTTGCTGTTGTGTGTCAACACATTTGCCCCACTGCTAGATCAGATCATCCAGGCTTTCACAAGTTTATGAAACCATGCAAAAATCTGGTAGATTTATGTAAAGATTTCACCAATTTGTGAAGAGTTTGTGAAGGAGTCACCAATTTATAAGGGTTTATTAATTTGATAGCATAGCTAATAGCTGGTGATATTGACTTGGTCTTTCTTTAATGTATAGAGTGACTTAACTTGGAAAGGAATTGTAACAGAGACTGGGCTTTAAAGAAAAACAATAACAAGTTTATTGAAATGTGGAAGGAGCATGATGGTTTCAATGTTTCTTACTCTTAGAGGCACATATCTTCGTAGGTTACATTTATAACGTTTCTTAAACAACTCTGGAAAGGATTCTTCCTTCCACTAAACAGGTTTCAAACTTATTTTTCTTCAAATTGTGTTTCTTCCCATAATAGATTACTTTAGTTACAAGCTTATTATTTCTTTGTGATGTTTCTGTTGCAATAGAGATCCTCACTGGGTTTCTCTCCCCTTTCTCCCTTACACTAACTATTAATATAAATAAGTCAACTTGACTTATTTAAACTACTCAGGCTAAAAGCCAAAACCTTCCTGATTCTCACTACTATAGAATCAGCCTTTCTTACAGTTCACAGACTGTAGATCAACCCACTGGTTCTCAACACACACTAGAACCAGCCTCTCCTGTAGTTCGCTGACTACAGACTGACTGCTTCAAAATGGCTGCCCTGCCAAGTGGCAGTTGGCTCTGCCCTTGTTTCCATGGTAACCCAGCTCAACATGAGCTGAGCTGACCTCCATCCCCCCTAGTTATACAACTTTAAATACTTACCCTTTAAACATCTATCTATAATTATACATAACTGCAAGTTAAAAATTTACACTTCACTACAATTTATTTACCAGAAGTAATAGTGATATGAATATACAAATACATGGCTACATTCAGCACTGCAGTCTAAATTTCTTCATGTCGAAAGAAGACTGAAAAGGCATTCAATACAAAGTTCTTCATAGTGGCATGGATTTTGAAACATGATCTAGTCCACAATTTTCTATCTGGCACACCAAATAAAATGGGTTTTTCATACTGAACTATATTACAAATGTTGACAGATTTGATCTAACCAAAGACTGCTGTCCTAATACTTACTGGAACACAGTTTGACTGATCTAATATTTGGCAAGCTTCTACTGTGCTACTCAGGATAAACTGATCTGATAGCCTGGTGCATAGATACTGCGTACAGTTATCATGTGGATCCTTGTAGCTCTGCCCAACCTACAGAGGAATAAAGAATATCCTGAAATAAGTTATTGATATCTATTTAAAATTCTCAACATCACATTTTTCATTATTACTGTCTAGACGGTATCTTTTAAAGGTACACAGAACAAGAAGTTATGGAATTTCCCTACAAGTTAATGTATAGTTACTAGAATTTAGGACTGTATACATGTAAATATTGCGGTGAATTTGATTTCTGTACAGGAGCTTACAATACATGCATTAGCAAAATGTAAAATACAGCCGTACTTGCAACTGCTCATCCAAATTAGAATTAGTGGGGACCTGATAAGTCCTACTCAAATAAGACCCATTAATTAAATGGTTCTACTCTTGGATGGAGCCCATGGTGGCACAACTGAGGTGCTGAACTTGCTGATCAAAACATCATCAGTTTGAATTTGGGGAGCGGGATGAGTGCCTGCTATTAGCCCCAGCTTCTGCCAACCTAGCAATGTGGAAATATGCAAATGTGTGATCAATAGGTAACACTCTGGAGGGAAGTTAACAACACTACATGCAGTCATGCCGGCCACATGACCTTGGAGGTATCTACGAACAATGCCGGTTCTTCGGCTTAGAAATGGAGATGAGCATCCACCCCACAGAGTCAGACACAACTAGACTTAATGTCATGGGGAAACCTTTATCTTTACTCTTCGAACTTGCAAACAAATATGGATTTAAGTCTCATGTTATTTCTTTCTCCCAATATTTTTGAGTAATACAAACCAAGATTATAAAGATATTTGCTTATTTTGCAATTTGCATGATCTAACCTGAGCAAGTGTAACTTGAATAGTATTGACAAAGACAATTGACCACTTTCACACAATCATATCACATCTTAATAAGAAGAGATATGAGTAAGTCTTTTCATTGGCTATAAAATTCCCAATATATTGTTAATATGTTTATTTATTTATTTATTTATTAAAAAAAGATCAGGTCAAGTCAGTTTTAACGCTGATTGCATTTTAATCAGTTTTAAGGATTTAAACTGTTTTTAACACCGTTAATATTTAATTCTATTTTAATGTTAGTGTATTTTCATGTTTAAAGTCATACAGTTTTATTGTAAGACACTTTGAGTGTCTGTTGCAGAGAGAAAAAGCAGGGCATAAATAAACATAATAATAAAATAGCAGATATTGAAGCAATGCAATATTCTGAAACTTCTGATACATAATTTTAATTGCATCATGGTCTATTTTACCAATGTAACTGCCTTTTAAAACTGTTTTAAAGTCATGTTTTTAAAATGTGTTTTTTAAGTTACATTTTCATGTGTTTTTACTTTATTTTGTTTTAACACATTTTGTGAGGTGCCTTGGGCTGCACACTGAAAGACAGTATTAAATAAATAAAATAATATTTCTCTCACTGAATTTTCCCCTCATGCTAAGCTTTGGGATGTTATACTGTTGAGGGATAGAGGAGGATATCAGTAAAGAAAGACAAAACAAAAACTCTCCTTTGAGATTTCTCCTTTCCCCTGAGGCCCAGAAGCAAAGAGCCAAGCTGTGATACTCAAGGCCAAAATGTGTGATCTTGGATTGCTAAACATATCCCCTTTTCATATAGCCCCTTTGGTATTCCATTTAATGCAGGAAGGAAGGGGGGAAGGAATTGAATATAGCATTTTCAAAGAAAACATTCTGAAATATTATGACCTATTGTTGTGATGGCAAACCTCTTAGAGACAGAGTGCCCCAAACTGGGGGGTTGGGGGAAGTGTGGGTGAGCACTCAGGGGGTGAGTGAGGGAGGTGAGTCTGGCGTTGGCACTTGGGGGGTGGACGACTGAATGAACGGGGGGGGGGGGGAGAGGCAAGCAAGTGAGTGGGTGAGCAGGCTAGTGAGTGGCGGGATAGTGAGCTGGGGAGGGTTAGAGAAGGGTGCCAGGAGAGAAGGTGCTGTGTGCCCCTTCTGGCACATCTACTATGTTTACCACAACTGACCTATGGCAACATTGCAAATATTTGCAATAGAAATAAACAACATACCCCAATGCTCACTGTTCCAGATGAAAGTTCTGCCACACATTCTGTCTGCACACATTCACCACAACATTTTCCTTCTTCCTGGATATAATGGAAACCCTGAAGATGAAATAATGTTGGCTATTAGATGCCAATATCAGGTAACCTGAATTTATAAGAATTTCCAAAACATAAAAAATTACTGCAAAAAAACCCTGCAAGAAATATATTTCAAAACCTTGCATTTCCTACTGGGAAGCTTCAGCATTTATGAAATCCTGTTAACAAATGATGATGAATGTCTCAATTACTCTGTAGGGAAGAGCCTTCTCCTTGGCTGAGTCACATGCTCTCAGTCCCAGAAAACTTTATGATAGGTTCAGGGTCATCATACATGAGAAACACAAAAACAAAACAATATAAGCAAGGTCAGGAAGGCATTTTCCAACCAGTTTCTGCTTCATGGCATCATCTTGTCCTTCATCTAGATTTGGGAAGGCAGCTACCAAAGCGACTATTTACCTTTTGACATTCAGTAGAGCACTTCATTGGTAGGCATTTAATTTGGTTGGTTTTGGTCTTAGGATCCTGTGTTTCAGTGCAGATACATTCTTCACAAGAATCAGAAGGTACCAAGAATCCAGGCTTTAATGAGATATATCAAAAGAAAGGAGAAACCAGTACATAAATTCAGCATGTGAACACAAAATTGTTAACACATAAAATCTACAGCTTACACCAATTAACATTTTAATACAAAATTATGTTTCAACAAAGTATCCCCACATTAAGTCAAGTACAGTCTATTCACCCTTAAGAGACATTGCTGGTGTTTTTCCTTTAAATTTATTGTATTTCCTTTTAAAACTATTTTATGATTGTTAGCTTTTCTTTTGATTTGAGTGGATATATCTTAATACAAAAACATTTTAACCTGATTTCTGACTATATTATTATACATTTTAAAAAGACTGGAGTTTTGAGGGGTTAAAACTTTGTAAATATGAAGGTATTCAGCAACATATAAATTTCAGGTCATTAGCTACAGCAATATCCCAGCAACACACAAAGGGAAGCAATAATATTCACCTGATACTCAATTCCTTGGTAAACACAAACATTTTTTGGTCCTGTCAATAAAAGAAATGCAATGCTTATATTTTATTTCTCTGTTGTATGGGTTTCATTGGATCTTTTCCATTTTTATTCTTAAGAGGTATCAAAAATCATTGGCAGAATACATAAAATATCTTAATGCAACTTCTAATTTTATGATCACAGACAACCCTCATACTCTGTCTAATCAAAAATAAGACTTACTGAATTCATACTTTTTAATGTGTTATGTTTTAACTGCACTGTGATCCTAAAAATAAAGTTGTTGTTGTTGGTATTATCATCATCATCATCATCATCATCATCATCATTATCAGTGTGACTATCTCAGGTAAGTATATAGAGAACTGCAACCTTACTCTACTCCTATGCCAAAGGATGTATGTAAGTTTGGTACTTACTACAGAAATAAATGGGACAGCATGCATCTTGAAAAGTGACTGTTGCAATCTGGAAACCTGGGTTGCATTTCGGTTTGATTGGAGAACAAGAGTTTATATCACATTCTGTAAATGAAGAGATAAAAGAGGATACTGTATTTAGTCGATTATAATGTGCAGTCAAATGTAATACGCACCTCAATTTTGAAGGTGTGCACTACAAAAAAAGTATTTGCTGTCAAATGTAATGCAAGATGGAGGTGGCTGCAAAAAGGCTGGTTGGATCCCATGCCCCTCCATCAAGCCTGGTAGGAAGCCAGCAATGGCTATGAAAAATCTGGTGGGAAGCTGTAGACTCAAATAAATATGGTATATTCATGTTTTACAGGTGACAAGGGCTCCTTTTACAGTGCCATATAAAAACAAGATCATCTGCCTTGAACTTGGTTATATGGCAGTGCAGACTCATATAATCCAGTTCAAAGCAGATAATGTGGATAATATCAGTTTTGGAAACATATGGTTATTTGCTCCCCTATGTAAAAGGAATCTCCAAACTCACTGCAGCAGTTTCTTACCACACACTGTCTCTGTACAGCAAGGGTCTTCTGACTGTATCCTCACTATAGGGACAAATCCTTCTGTGGTGCAAGTGATTGGTGGAAACCTGGCACATATATGGGATGTACAAGAAATATCCAGTGTCTCCTTGCTGCAGGTGCAGACTTGACAATCTTTTTCCCAGGTCTCTCCTGGCTGTATGATAAATATGAAATAAATAAATAAATGCCAGCACAGCTTCTAATTCTAGAAATGAGTTTCTAACAACATCATCTGTGTAGGGAATTTGCAGGAACTGATTCAGTTCGGTCTCTGGAGAGATGATAAATTTATGGGGGAAAGTGTATATTATGATTGTATTATCAAAATTTCACTGTCAAAATAGTGATTCTAACTCTTCTTAGTCTTCTGTAAATACATAAAAAGTCACCATAATATCATGATACAATAAAAATTCTGACATCCTGTTGAATGAAAATGATTGGATACAACTTCCCCTTAATAATAATATAGGCATCACATGGAGTGGTTGCTTATTTGTCAGTTACTGCTGCATTGTGTTTCCTACAAAGTGTCCCTTCACGCAAAATTATCTTGCAAGAGATAAGATCTGCAAAATTGTTTGTTGCACGGCTGTAGCCTGGCAAACTGTAAACCTGGCAAACTGTTTTTAAATGTATATTTATTATCATTTATGTAATTGTGTATTTTATTGATGTTTTTATATTGTTGGAAGCCACCCTGAGTTCCTCTTCGGAGGGCGAGAATAGGACGGGATACAAATAAATAGCTCTTTTTGTACTCCTTACCTGTCTCACTACACCATCGGGTCCTTTGCAACCTAAAAGTTAAGACAATTGAAAGATGAAATCAGGAAGAAAGCAACACAATTACATGACAGACACAAATATATACAAATAAGGATGCCAGAAAGGTACATAAAGGAATACATCTGAGAGCCCCAGCTGAAAGAACATTCTTATTTCTAAATCATGATGTTTTCTGATTAAAAAACAACATTTAGTTCAAGCTAAATACAGTGACATTTATGTTTCTGTTTTCTTTTTTATTGCTGTATTCTGAGTTTCACAAACGCATTGTATACATGAACCATTCACAGACATCCCCATAACAGTTAGTTTGGACTCTTCCCTCTACCGTCAGTTCCCTTACCACAGAAGGAGATACACATATCATCACTGTATTTCAGCTGTATCAGTCCATCAGGGCAGAAGCATCCTTCAACAAATATTCCTTGAATTTCATTTTGCAGTAGATTGGCACTAGAAGTATTTTTTCTGTAGAATAATTTTTCTGAGTTAAAAGTGTAAAGAAAGTATTGAGGAATACAATAATTCAGATTTCATTACCTTTTATCGGTTTGTTAATGAATTCATCCAGCTTATGAGCGGAAGTCAATTTCCAGAGCACTACATTATGAACAGCTTGATCCAATAATTTAGAACAAAATGATCTTGTTAAGACAAAGGCAGATAAAAAAATTCTAAATGATTTCCTTTCTTAAAGAGCACACTTTTGGCCTGGATTATTTTTGAGCAAGAGAAACAGAAAGCACTTGGCACGGTTATAGAATATCCTGTTTTAGAAAAAAAGCAACTAGAAAACTATCAGATGAACACATGGAGACAGAACTTATTTTCCATTGTGTATTGATTACAAATCACATGAAGAGTTATCTGATACAAACTTACTACTTAAAAATTACTCACCCACTAGAACAAGTGAGCCTTTCCATCCTTCCACATGGATTATAGATTTGACCCCCAGAGCAAGTGAGTTCTGTGAAACATTAATTTGTATCAGTTGAAATAAATTTTCCTTATATTTTGCATTTTTCTAGCTTAAAATATTTAAGGATTCCTAAGTAGGTAATGGAGAAATATATTCAAGAAATCTAAGTCCATTCAAAAGTCTTCACATACAGTATGGGAGAGGAAAACTCCTTGTCCTCATCACTTTGTACATGTAAAGCAGTTCTTCCACACTTTCTGTGGAGTTCTTTGCATGTGAAGGATGATCTAGGGCAGACTGGCAAGGGCAGCCGCAAGCAAATAAATGCTACGATTTGCCATCACCTTTTTCCACCTCTGCCCAAAGAAAAGAAGGAGGTGCAGGAAAATTTCACTGCAACAGATAGTGCTGTAGTTCTGAGGAAGGGATCTCTCTATTTATGTGCGCGTGTGCATGTGTGTGTGAGTGTGTGTGGCCTTGTCCCAAAAGTAATTAGATTGATTGTTTTAAAAAATACATTGAACATACATGCTGAGTCACATTGCTCTCAGTTCTAGACTCCTCAGCTTTCTTATATATGACTAGACACAAAAATTACAACACACTAATGTACTGGCTGCTACAAAGACCAGATTCAACTGAAGAAGGTCAAACAGACTGCCTGGGTTCCCCCTTCACCTATCTAAACTCCCACTTTCCTTTCCTGACCCTGCTGTACTGCACAAATAAAATCATTTTCATTACTTTTGGGACACACACACACACCACACAGACATCCTAAGGAAGAAATAACCTTTCTATTCTAACTGCCAACTGAAAGAGGTAAGTGGCAGCAGTTGCTATGAGAAAACGAACTGACCTTGGTTTTCTAGCATAGGCTTCCATCTGGAATGATATAGTTCAGAAAGGACTGTATCATTCCCGATATTTCTGATTATAGAATTTTTCTCCCCCACTGGATCATTTTCTACATTTTGTGGGCTTTCCTTTGTAATAGCGGTTGCCCAAACTATATTCAGCAGAGCAAAGGTTTCAGTGATATAGGCATGTTTAACAGTATCTTCAGTTCTAGTTTAACTCCATTTCAGTGTTTCCCTTATAATGATGTAAATTGCTTACTTGGATGGCCAGATTTAGAGGTTTGTGAGAACTTAATTCACAATTTTTAAAAACAGAATTTTCCAAATCTCACAAATCTGCTCAAAAATGCAATAGAAAGAATGAGAGAATTGAAAAATATGGATGTGAAAAAACTAAAGTAACCAATTCATTCACCATGTAGTGCAAATCTTAAACTAAGAGTTGCAACCCCATGTGTGGTTCCTTAATCTGAATTTAGGGTTATGAAAATTGTTTAGCTTGCCATCTAGTGGCTGTTTTAGACATTTACATAAACCCAAGAGAACGGGTTCATGTAACGGGTTCATGGTGACGGCCGACAGGGAGCTCTGGCGTGGGCTGGTCCATGAGGTCACAAAGAGTCGGAGATGACTGAACGAATGAACAACAACAACAAAGAGAAAAAAAGGAGAGCCCTGAGGTACTAGATGATGGGCGTTTAGCTCCCAAAAGTTTGTGTTTGAATCATATATTATCAGCTATGTTTGATGTTAAATTAGGCTATAAGAAGGGAGAGAATGAAGGGGAAGGTTCTGAAAATAAAACAGAAACAATGGGGATAGAATAAAAGTTTCCAAGATGCACAAGCTCTTTATCATCTATTCCTGACAAATATTTAACCAAAAAAAAAGAAGAAGAAAGTCTTACACATGTGTTTTATTTTGTTTTTTTGCTAACTTGGGGCTACCAACTTTTTTCCTGAGAAGTTATATATTTCAAACTTCTGCGTTGGTGGGAGATACAACATGATTCCATTATAGAATCCATTATATTTGGTAACAAAAAAGGGCTACAATAACATGCAATTTGTTAGCGATTTGGGAAGCAAAACAGCTCACCACACTTCCTGCTGGTTTTACTTCTCCAGTCTACACAAATTCCATGGAAGCCACACATGGCTGCATAAGCCTGGAGACTTCCACATTCAGTGTTCTGCTTTGCTGAGGAGCATCCATCAATAACACAGGCATCATAGTAAGGCCGTGGGGGCACAACATTGTGACATTCTATTAAGTTCCTTATTTAATAAAACAGATGGAATTATATGTTTTGGCCAACATTTTCAAAGAACAAAAAGTAGAAATTAATTCACCATGTAATTTGACTACCATAAGAATAAGAGAAGGGGCTATCTGCTGAAATCCAGTAATCCTGCAAAAAAGATATTTTTAATAGATGGATGGCATCATCCATTTGTTTTCATATCATAAGCATGACTACTGAAAGATTAATTGTGCTCATGCACTGTTAAAGTTGTAGTAGTATCACAAAAATCAAATCTTTTCCTGAACCAATCTCTGAAGTCATACAGACCTCCTGCTGTTTCCCATGGCACACATTGGCACTAAGAGTGGATTGGACATGCCATTGCTCACAAACCGCCACACCCCCCCCCCCCCGGGAAAAATTAAAGGTTTATCCTTGACATTAAGTCTAGTTGTGTCCCACTCTGGGAGGTGGTGCTCATCTCCATTTCTAAGCTGAAGAGTTGGCATTGTTCATAGATGCCTCCAAGGTCATGTCACAGACATCACTGCATGGAGCGCGGTTACCTTCCCACTGAGGTGGTACTTATTGATCTACTCACATTTGCATGTTTTCAAACTGGTAGGTTGGCAGAAGCTGGGGCTAACAGCGGAAGCTCACCCCACTCCCCAGATCAGAACTGCAAACCTTTTGGTCAGCAAGTTCAGCAGCTCAGCGCTTTAATTCGCTGTGCCACCCCCTAGTGCCTTGGAAATTCCTCAAAGGTAGTCTCCATGTCTAAAAATGTAGCTATAGTTATAGTGAGGTAAGTACATTTCCTGATGCAGGATGTTGGCTATACGTATTTTTATTCTTAACACTGAACTTTCTACTAGATTATAATGCACAGACACTTTCAACTGGCACTTAATTTTTCTCATGTGCTTCTATGTAATTGATTTTGTGTTTATGCAATTTGCTTCATTTGAAATTAAATTTAAAAAACAGAGAAACGTCATTATATATTTATCTACAGACTGAAAAACGATCACTGAATGTAATTGTTTCAATGCTTGGGTGCCTGCAAAAAGATAGACAATAAATGAACACCTTATAAGGGATGAATGTAATAACATTAAATGAACATGTACATTACCAGATAAGTTTACATAAAGGAGGACCTGTACAAGCAGCCATTTCAGCTTGGGATGGTTGGAGGTGTTGACCAGAATCACAATGTCTAGTCACAAGATCCATTACTTTCCAATCATTTGCCATCTCTGTAAAAGAATCTGCGATCTTGCCATTCCTTTGCATTGCATCATCTGACTTTTTGTTGTTACATGTGCCTGACAATGATAAGAAGGGCAACTTTGGTAAAGGCTAAAAAGTCATGAGCACTTATAAACTGTCTAACACAAAGAATCTTCTCTTCCCCCCCCCCCTCTCTCATGCTCTCTCTCTCTCTTCGTGTATGTGTGTGTGTGTCCCAGCCTTCCTGGGGGATTCTTACCATGACCTTCCACAACCTGTTAGAACCCCTTTCTCCCCCCCCCCCACCACCACTAAAGAGCTATTGTCATGTCAAGCTCAAGCTCTTCTTCTGATTTTTATCAAAAATTATAAAATAATCTTAACAAGGTGATATGTAGTACTCCTCTATTCCACATACACTATTTCTCTAATACAGATAGACTGTTAGTATAATTAAAACCCACTTGGTGCATTCACTATTCCTTGTACACTTACCACATTGTCCTTCAGTGTTGTTATAAAAAGTGCTAAAAGGCAGGTTTATATAAAAAGCAAGATGAGTGTAAGAAATGTAGAGTCCGATTTCAGGAATTTTAACCACCACATACTGACTGGAAATAGTAATTTCAAAGGCATCATTGGAAAAACCTGGACTGATTTCTTTATTGTTATATAGTACCTTAAAAGTAATTGGAACAAGTCAATTAATTATGTCAAATACTTTAAACAAGCAAGGACTATGGGTTTTTCAAATGATAAAAGGTAGGTATTTAGCAACAACAATACAAGTGGTTTGAAACAGAAGTTTAAAAAGCGAATGTTAACATATTACAGTATAATGGGACAGCTACACTAATATTAATCCGATTTTCCCTTTTTAGATCTTCTTAAAGTGATACACAAGCAAAAAGGTTCATTTGGAGGTTTGGGCTGATATCAGGATTTCCCCTTTGACAAAGAGATATACAGTATGGCTACAAGGGATATGTTCCTGGGATTCACATAGATACTCCAAACTGTGCATAATAGTGCACCATATTGAAACGAAGGACTTCTGGTTCAAAAATATCATAGAATGACCCCGGAAGACCTAGAAAATGCCTAGAGACGACATATTTTCTTGGATGTGGATAAATTAAAACATGGACACAGGGGTCATACTGTATTCTTGAAAAGTGTCAGAAATTTAATAATGGTGCAGCTTTCCACAGCACATATGTGCATACCCTCCTTCAGCCTTACTTGATTGGTCACTTCCATTTTTTCAAAGGAGGGTAGGTGAGATTTTTGTGCTTTTTCCATGATAAAACAGATTTCACAGAGTTTGGTAAAGCTGCCTCATGAAATGAAGCAGGGAAGCTGAATTCCACTGGTATGTGCTGCCTTATTGGGCAACAACACCAACTGTAACAGTAAAGTGAGAGTATTCTGTCTCTAAAGAATTAACAAAAAAATCACAATCCCACAATGAACACAAAGGAGTGATACCACAGATAGTAGTCGTAACTGTCTACGATGCTTGTTCATCATATCACACCCAAGATTTAAAAAGCACAGTGAGGAGGCAAAATTGTTTCAGAAGAAAGTCAAATATCATTACTAAATATCCTTCAGTAAATAATTCAACTTTTTTCTTTATTCTCACTTTCTCAGTTATTACAAAAACAAACTCAATGCCAAGATGTGTAAAATAAATAATAATAATCAATATATATTCACCATTTATTAAACAGTAATCTCTATAACAGGGAAAAAAAACTTATCCAGATATACCTCCCTCTCTTTCTAATTTATTCCACGGCAATTTAATCAACTGATTTTGATGGCAGATTGGCTCTTATTATGATGTAAAAATCCAACTCTTACCAAGTTGTCTTCTTTTCCATTTTCAACTCCCCGTGTCAAAATGATGATAGAGTGGTTGTAAAAGATGAAGAGCGTCATGGAGCAAACAGCTCTTTCTGAGGCTGCACAATAATGATTGTCCAGTTGAATCCAGAAATTTTGAGAGCCAGGTCTCAATGGCTTCATCAGGAGATAGGTGCAATTGCCACGAAAATTATAATAGGATCCATCAAATGTTAAATAGTGCTGATTTCCCCAACCACTACAAGCACCTAAATGCACATGGGTTACACACAAAATAAGGGGTCATATAGCTTAAGTAAAGGGCTATTAAGGCAAACACACATTAGTTCACCATACATAGGTTAACACATGCAAAGCAATATTCAGCATGCAAAAAAGGTAAGGGTTCCACAATATACAAAACGCTTGAGTAACTGAGGAAATCCAACATCTGGTGCAATCTAGGAAACCCTGAATGTAAAACTAATCCTCTTTGCAGTCATGAGGAAATCTGTCAATTTCACTTTTTACTGATTTGCACATTTTTTTCTTCTGAATAGGAAACTCTATAAAAATTAATGGAAATGAAATTATAATCCGTCTAGCCAAATTCAATGGGTATTGCTATTCACTGCACAAAGATATTGCATTTGCCTATGTTACTGTATTAAATAAAAGCTCTCCCCATTTCTGTCAGAAAGAGGCAACCCCAATTTAGCCCTAAAATGGTTAAATACTAGGCTGGTGCAGAAAAGTCATATCACATTATAAGTCGTAAGAAATTTGTTAGCTTCATACTTACAACAAGATATCCGACATTTGGGCATGGTCCCCACCAAAAGTTTAAGAAGTAAAGCTTAAGAGGGCTCTGATTTTTAAGTTTCAATTCCTTTTGAAATCTTTCTTTGTGTGATGCAGCAAAGAAATCACAGAGCAACCAAGCCCTACTGAGAGCCAAATGTGTGGAAATGCCTCTCAGCCAATCAGGGTTGGGAGTGGGGAGGCTGAGCAGCCACCATTTTGGTTTTAAATTCCAGAGTGCACTGGCTCCATTTGCACTCTGGAAGGGATTGAGGCAGGAGGGTAGAGCTTGGGGAAGGCAGACAGACAGAGAAGGTAGCTTCTTACATGAAGAAGAAGGAGGAGAGTAGAAGGAGATCACTGGTGGCTGCTGAATAACAGTCACTTGCAAAGGGGCCACAAACTTCAGTATTTTTGAGTTTAATAAATAATATTATAGAATAGCATTAATAACTTCTGGCTACACACACCATCACAAGGGGGCAACTGAACTTGGAAACTAACATTACTTAGAGTCAAATATTAGAGTATAGCAATTAGCTGCCTTGGATGGACACACCCAGCACAAAGGGGCAATTCAGCTTGGAAATTGACATTATTTTGAGTCAAATATATTTTAGCAAGCATAGCATCAATAGCTGCCTGCTGCCTTGGACACAGGGCACAGGTTGGCTGCTGCTGCCATTACCTTTTGGCACATCAGCACAAACCCTGCTTGGAAATTGAAATTCTTTGAGTCTGATATTATAGCATAGCATTAATACCTGGCTGCTGCCTTGGACACAGCTGCATTTTGAGCATAGGTTTTGGCACAAAAAATGAAGTTTCTGGAGTATAACTACTTTCAAAGTAAGGACTACACAATTAAACAGGAAATGACACTTTCAAATTAGGAAGATATTTTCTGTATTATTATGATTATGATTATTATTCAGAGGCTGGATGGCTATCTGTTGGGAGTGCTTTGATTGTGCTTTTGCTGCATGGCAGAAAGAAGGGGCTTGGAATGGATGGCCTTTAGGGTCCCTTCCAGCTCTATGATTCTATCATGTATCTATCATACAATATTATATAATAATAGGAGAGACATTCAATGACATAGCTTTTGTGGCTTGAAAAAAATGTCTTTGTCAAAACCTTTTTTAAAATCCTAAAATTATTAGATATAAGAATATTTCTGAAATGATTCTCTATTATCTTGTGTCATTGTGTAGAAAATTCAAGGAGATAGCTCTTGTAGATTTTAAAAAATAGGTAATGTTGTTTATAAAAACTTTGGAAATTCTCCAAAAACCCATAGATAAGTGAAACATTCCAAAATTTGGTGGCCTAACAGTGGTTCTACTATTTTAGCCAGTTTCACCCCAATCGCTGTCAAAATGAGAGAACAATGAGCCTCTGAAGATTCCCCAATGCGCAATTACCATAATGAAAAAGTAACAAAATTTTGTTACTCTCATTACTGTAGCAGCATTTTCGATACTTTAGAAACAAAATGCCAGCACACACCCCCCCCCCCCAGTTTTGTAATGACCTTTGAAACGTTTTTATGGATCACACATTCCTATTAAATACATAATGATTTAAAACCCAGACTTCTAACAAGAAGTCCTCATTGCCCTGAAGCTGGATGGATGAATCTGTGAGTTTCAATTACTTTGGATTTTGAATCTGAATATTTTGAAATCTCAAACTCTTTCTATCCCAAATAGGAACAAATCAATGAATGAGATGAAACAAAATGTTTCTGCATCCCCAGTCCTTTGTTCTTCATTGTCACATCATTGTGCAGCTTTGAAAACACATCCTAAAGTTATAAACCCACAGGAATAGAATCAGAAAAGCTGTGTTCATCATTGTAGATTAAAGAAAAAACATAAAGAACTTCCATCATAATAACTTGTCGTTGCCTCTACATAAGATATTCTATCAGATTCTAATTATCATGTGCAATCACATTAACATACAATTGGATCTTTGTAATACTTTAGAACAGGCCTTTCATTGTTCTCATCCAGAACTACCTGACATGTAGGTGAGTTGGTGTCACAGCAATAGTACCTTTGGCTTTTCAATTGATATTTTGGTCTTCAGTATACTTTTATGACTCTCACCCAGTGCCTGCAACTGTATAAGCAATATAATCCATGAACCAGAAGCACTTATCTCAGTTGGAGCAATGGTACAGATTTTAGAGGTTGTAAAACAGCTACAATGCTTGTGCATTATTTTCACTTTCTACCTACTACATACCTACCAAAAAGACAACTTCAGAAGCTGGGAAATTACTTTTTAGACTATAACAATCAAATCATTCGTCCCATTGTGAATTATTTTAGAGTCAGCATTATAAAAAGGACATTGTTCCAAAATTACTTACACTGACACTCAGAATTCCCACAACAGCCAGATGCATCTCGACTTTTTACAAGAGGCAATCCATTGACACAGAGTTTTAACTTTGGGGGTGGACATTGCACATCAGATACTTTAATGTTTTTGCCACCTAAGCAAGTGGCAACATGGCATCTTCCATATGTCCATATTTCTTGAAACTACCATCATATTAATTGAAAGAAAAGCAAAAAAAAGAGGAATAAATAAAAATGGCTTTGCCATTGTCATTCAGTCTGTTCCATTTTATTCAATATTACTATACTGTACTTGCTCTGTCAAAATGCTGTATAATAAGTATCTGAATGTATCTCTCCTTATGAACCATCTAGGACCTTAAGATTGTCCGGGGAGGCCCTGCTCTTGATCCCGCCTTCCTCGCAGATGCATTTGGCGGTGACAAGAGACAGGGCCTTCTCAGTGGTGGCCCCTTGGCTATGGAACACCCTTCCCAGGGATATAAGATTTACTCCCTCCCTTCTGACATTTTGCAAAAAGGTTAAGACCTGGCTCTTTGAGCAAACTTTTACTAATGGAGCATAATTAGACAAAAATGAATATATGGAATGACTGATGGTGCAATTGGAGAATGATTTTAGTAAAGAGATGCCAGGAATTTTGTTTTTTACAGGCTGTATTTTTATATCACATTTTAAATGTTTTACTTGTTTTTATAACTGTTTTAACTGTATTTTTATAATTGCTATGGCATTGAATTGCTGTTGACTGTGAACCTCCTTGAGTCGCCTCCGGCTGAAAAAGGCGGTATACAAATGCGGTAAATAAATAAATAAATGTGTTTCAGTGTCTACGGATTGTAATGCCATATAATTCTTGAATAAAATAGTTTCTGATTAGGCTATTAAATTTAATTGTTCCCTTACCATTTTCATACAATACGCAAGGATATATACATCTTTCCTTAGTTAAAACAATCGCAATTATTATCTACTTCATGTTATCAATAGTCTTAAAGTTTTCCTCCTGGTCAGTATAGACAACAAGAATTTGCTAAGTTAAAGTATTTGCTAAGTTAAAGTAATAGGAGGCTGAACCAATTGAACAGTGGTTTTGTAGGTGCAGAACCAAGGATAAAATTAGAGCAGTCTTGTAGCTTCTCTGATGCAGTCACTGACAGCACAGCTCCCACACAGCATCTGCTAGTTAATGTAGAGACAGAAAGAATAACTCCAAATTTCCTCATTCTTGATAGAGAGCACATCTTGATACATCAGCACACCTCACTAAGAAAACTATTGACTGCTGTGTGTAGGGCAAGAGATCTCTTGTTTTTTGGATGTTGTTGTTTCTCCTGATTAAAAACAAAAAATAATACTGACCTTGTGATGAATGTATTGCCAGCTTTTAAGTTTCCACATGTGAGTGTGAGTGTGATGGAGAGCCAGAACACGAAAGGGGACTGCTGAATTCTACTCTTAAAGGGGTAGTCACCCATGGTTTCCCCTCTCAATATGATGAGGTGGTAAGGTAGCTCATAATTAATTTAGAACTGGTATACAGAAAAACAGGGTGAAACATTGCAATGCTACAGTGACCTGATTTGTAATTTCCTCTACTCTGTAAGTTGCTTCAATTCTCTGTTTGATAAAAAGGCAAGGTGTAAAAAAAGGGACTTATGGATACTAAAACATAAGTAAATTAGTATTAAAACATTGTTGAACTCAAAGTCATTTAATTCATTTTTTAAATCTATAACACCAATCTGTTAACGCCCTTTTCCCAGTAATGTAACAAGTGCTGAAAGTGTGACTAAATAAAAAGAATTTTCTTTGGAGCAAATAAAAATTAGTTTAAATGATACAATAAGAGCTAAAATCCAGTCTTTTGATGTAGTACCAAGTGACTTTGTACTTTATTTAAGATCATATAGAGTAGCCCCTCCAGACTGCAAGACCTCAAACCTGCATCCCATCATCAGGCCTTATTAATACTACTTATCCAGGTGTTGGTAAGAAAGGTGGGAAAAGGTAGCTATGATAGCAATTAGGAGATGGAAATACTGCTTATCGTCAATGCTTCAGATCCTCTGAAGATGCCAACCACAAAGGCAGGTGAAATGTCAGGAGAAAATATAGTCTGCAAACCACACAACACCCCGATATTGCTGATAGTTTTACAGTATTGTGTCTAAGGCTGAAAATAAATTAATGTGATGGTTATGTTTTTCTTGAGATCAAATATTGAAAGGAAAACCTTTTGTATCATAAATATGCTATTGATAGTGCATCTTGCTCACCTTTCTAGAAGGGTGAAGGTCGGTGCACTCGCTCCCAGGAGTAAATGTAGGAACAATATTACCTGCAGAGTAAGGAGGAGGTTGTTTCTTACACTTCTCTATATTCCCCTTACAAGGTCTGCTGGGGATTATGGGCAGCATGCTTGGAACCGTTGTGGTAGAGAATAAGATACATTCTCCAAAGTTGAATTCAGTCTGGCAGGTTGCATTACAAAAGGCATAAATACACCAGCCTGAAGCATCCCTTGTCAGAAACTGGCTGCTGCCTAAAAATCCAAAATAATAGTGAGTTAAAACTATATTGGTTTTAAGTTGAATACCATTCAAGTGTACAATCATCCCTTTAAACAAAATCAGCAATTTCTGATCCAGGTCAGATGTAACCATTTTTGTGTGTATGTAAGGAGCTATTTGAAAAACTGTGTGTCGCTGCTGGTGTGAGAGAATTGGCAATCTGCAAGGATGCTACCCAGGGGACACCCGGATGTTTTGATGTTTTACAATCCTTGTGGGAGGCTTCTCTCATGTCACCGTATTGGGAGCCGGAGTTGATAGAGGGAGCTCATCCGCACTCTCCTCGGATTTGAACCTGCAACCTCTCAGTCTTCAGTCCTGCCGGCACAAGGGTTTAACCCACTGAGCCACTGGGAGCTCCATGTAACCACTAATTGTATAGCTTTACCATAAGAGCAAGCATCTCCTGAGAGTCTAGAACATCCCCCCCCCCGTGACCCCCTTGAACCTATTATGATATTAAGAGCAGTTTACTATGTGTTATTTTCATCCTCATTGATTGGTTTAGGTCTGAAAAAGGCTCTTCCTGTTTCTAAAAGAAGTTTTTTCTTCATGGTCTCTGCGAATGCACACTTGTGGAGAGGCTGCGCCTGCGCGGGCTCCAACGGAAACTTCTACTTTTCAAAAACTTTTCAAGTTTTGGCGGTAACCCTGCCCAGCCCCGGCAGGGGATAAAAGGACGCCCCGCGCACACCGATCCAATTCCTTTTTTTCCGCCGCACGGCTCGCTTCGGACTTCTAGGAATAGATAGTAGTATTAGTGTTAGTATAGCGATTCTCTTAGGATTGTCTCTCGAGTTGTTGACCAGATTATGTCAACAACTCGCTTCAAAAGATGCGCGAATTGTCCGAGGAAGATTCCTGATTCGGACAAGCACGCTCTTTGCCTTTTGTGTCTCGGAGAGGCACATATTACTTCTTCGTGTCGTCATTGTCAATCGTTGACGGCACAGTCTTGCAAGAACCGAGTTCATCGGCTTCGGTACCTTCTGTACCAACAGACGTTGGCCCCGGTACCCTCAACATCGACATCGGCGTCGACGTCGGCTGTGGTATCCGGACCTTCGACATCAACCTCGAGATCGAAGGCATCGGCATCTACTCCTGCTGATCCCTCGACGGAGGCCGGGCCTCGCCAGACAAGGGCGAAGAAGGCCGCAAAGAAAAGGCCGAGACCAGCCATGTCGACAGTCTCGAAGGCCTCTGTGTCGACGGCTTCCAAGGCTGCAAGGCCTATGAAGCAGAAGGCTCCTTGCACGGTCACGACCGAGACCGTACGCATTCGACACTCATCGACCAGCTCGGTGGCGTCGGTGAGATCGATCAGGTCCACGAGGTCGACGTCGGCGACCCCGCCATCTTCCACGGCGGTTCGCATCGCTTTCCGCCGGTCTCAGGAAGAGTCACGGCGAGCTTCCACCTCATCCTCCGTCCCGCCCACCCCGGGCAAGTCTGTGTCGAAAACAGCTCAGCCGCCGGCAAAGAAGAAGAAGACGATGCCGCCTCCATCCTCGTCTTCCTCTTCTTCCCGAAAGCAGACCACTGCCTCCTCGGCCACCTCGTCTGCGAGGTCATCGCCGTCACAGCCTGCTGAACCTCAGCCGCCTCCGCAACCGGCCCAGGTCCCACAACCTGTGCCAGAGCAGCCTTCGGAGCAGCCCGAGTCCCCGGTGATCTCGGTGGACACGGTGATCGAGGCACCAACTCGCCATGTGACAGCCAGACAGGAGCTTTTCCCGTCGGTCACGACGTTGACTACTGTGACAGCCAGACAGGAGACTTCTCCGGTGCTGGAGACTCCAGAAAGGGGCAGACAGACGATGAGACTAGCCCGTGCCATTCAGGCCTCGGCCTCTAAAGTCCCTCCAGTGGCTCCTCTACAGCTTGCGAGTCGGGATGTTTCCTCATCCCCTCCTCCCAGATCCTTGGCTGCGGACGATGAAGAAGAAGATGGCGAGTTACCGGGATCGGTACACTCGGGATCGGTGTTGTCTCTCGGGATCGAGAAATCACCTACCCACGACGCCTATGAGGCCGATCCGCCATCCCCTACTGACAATGTCCGAGCCTTTGCGGATCAAATGGCTCGCATGGCTGAGGCTCTAGGCCTGGAGGTCAAGCAAACCTCCAAGGCAGTACTGGACCCAGTGTTCAAAAGGGTACAGAGGGAGTCCCCACCTGCTCCTCTCCTACCCTTTCTTCCCTACCTCCTCGAGGTGATTCAAGGCTCCTGGAAGACCCCTTCATCCATCCCTCCAACATCCAAGAAAATCGAATCTTGGTACAGAACTGATGATGAGGGCTTGGAGTGGCTGAAACACCACCCCGACCCTAACTCGGTGGTCGTGAAGGCGGCTCAAGGGTTCGGAAGGCAGTCCTCGGCGCCGTCCGACCGTGAGGGAAAGAGGTTCGACGCCGTGGGCAGGAAGCTCTACTCTGGTGCCCTTCTGTTGGCCCGCATGGCGAACTATGGGGCGTGCATGGGAGCGTACCAGCAAATCCTCTGGGAAAAGGCGGAACCTTTCTTCCAGAGGATGTCTGAGGAGGATCGTGCTGCCATGACCACCCTGGCACAGGAGGCGAACTCTCTGGCGCATCACCAGATGCAAATGGCCAAGCACACAGGGGACACTGCCGGAAAAATGATTGCTCATGCAGTGGCAATCAGAAGGCACGCATGGCTTAGATCCTCCGGCCTCTCTACTTCATCGAGGCAGGTGATCGAAGACCTTCCCTTTGATGCCCTGGGGCTCTTCAATGCTGGGACGGACGACAAGTTGAAGTCAAATCACGACTTCAAGACTTTGGCCTCCAAGTGCGGGTTCGAAAATCAGAACCAGGCACAAAGAACCAGATGGTTCCAGTACAGACGCCGACACACGGTCCCGTACCGTACCATCCAGTACCGCCATCCAACCCGTCCCTTGCAGAACTCCCAGCAAACCCAACCTCAGCAACCCCAGCAACAACGGAGGCAGCACCAGCAGCAGCGTTCGCGCTCTCGCCAGGCTTCAGGAGGCAACCAGGCCAGACGCCGCATTTGATGCCCTTGCGGACGATACCGTGTACAGTTCCGTTACAGATGTTGTTCCCATGTCCCTTCCAATGGTACCCGCCCTCATCCTTCCATCCGGCTCGACTCCGTTCGGAGATCGCCTGACGAACTTTCTCCCTGCATGGGAAAATATCACCTCAGATGCATGGGTTTTAAAGATTGTCGACGAAGGCTATGCATTGGAGTTCGAAGAACTCCCACCAACAGGACAGATTGTCGAGACCGAACCATCCTCGGCAATTCTATCAGAGGTCGAGACTTTGCTTCTGAAGGGAGCAATCTCCCCTCTCCCGGACTCCCAAAACCATCGAGCCTTCTTCTCAAGATACTTTACTGTCCCAAAGCCGGATGGCTCCCTCCGCCCCATCCTCGACCTCAGAGACTTAAACACCTTTATCGAACCCCAAAAGTTTCGGATGGTGACGGTATCGTCCATTCTTCCTCTCCTCAGACACGGGGACTTCTTCGCGTCCGTCGATCTCCGAGACGCTTACTTTCATCTGTCGGTCAGGAAGCATCACAGGCGCTTCCTGGCCTTCAGGGTAGCGGGACAGTCATACAATTTCAATGTCCTTCCCTTCGGTCTCGTGACGGCACCGAGGACCTTCACCAAATGCATGTCGGTGGTCGCAGCAGCTCTCAGAAGGGAAAAAATTCGCATTTTCCCTTACCTAGACGACTGGTTGTTGGCAGCACGCTCCCCGGACCTCCTGAGAGTTCAGGTGGCAAGGACGCTTTCCCTCCTCGAAGACCTGGGCCTCCAGTTGAACGAGGAAAAATCCCATCTCGAACCCACCACTTGCATAAAATTCATCGGCGCCATGTTCGATTCTCTCTCCCAGACAGTTTCCCTCCCAGAGGAGAGATTCAGAGCTCTTCGAGCCGAGGCACTCAAGGTCCGTCGCTCTCGGGTGACCTCGGCCAAACAGATACAAGTTCTCCTCGGACACATGGCCTCCACGGTGATGGTGACACCGTTGGCAAGACTCCGCTTCCGCCCCCTCCAGAGATGGTTCTTGGACCACTTCAACCCCATGCGGGACAGTGCCACGAAGCGCCTACTGGTACCGAGGCCAGTGAAGGACTCTCTGAGCTGGTGGATGAACCGCCAGCATGTCTGCAAGGGCATTCCCTTTCACCCAGAGCCCCCGGCCGTCACGATCACGACGGACGCCTCGATGTTCGCATGGGGATGCCATAAAGGAGACCTCTCGGTTCACGATCTCTGGTCTCCACAAGAAAGACAATGCCACATAAATTACCTAGAACTGCTGGCAATATTCAAGGCCCTGAGAGCATTTGCCCTCCTGGTTACCGGCAAGTCCGTCCAAATTCTCACGGACAACATGGTGGCAATGTTCTACGTGAACAAGCAGGGCGGAACGGGCTCGAGAAAACTCCTCAAGCTATCAATGGAGCTTTGGGACTCGTGTGTAGCCAGGTCGGTGTCGATAACAGCACTGCACCTCCCGGGCGAGAGCAACACCGAGGCCGACGCACTCAGCAGAACCAGGGCAACATCTCACGAGTGGAAGTTGAACCCCGATGTGCTGGCAAAGATCTTCGAGGAGTGGGGCCTTCCAGTCGCAGATCTCTTCGCGTCGCCGCAAAACGCTCAGCTCCCTCAGTTCGGTGCTCGACTTGCTCCGAACACGGTACCGGGATGCCTCGGAGACGCGTTCCTGTTAGACTGGTCAAGGCATCTGCTCTACCTCTTCCCTCCCTTCCCGCTCATCCCGAGGGTGATCGAAAGGATCCAGTCGGCGCAAACGAACTGCATCTTGGTGGCGCCGGAATGGCCAAGACAACCGTGGTTCTCGGTCCTACTCCAGGTGTCCGAGGGGCGGATGAAACGCCTTCCACTTCGGCAGGATCTGTTCTCCCGAGAGGACGGTCAGCTTCTCCACCCCGACCTCGCTTCTCTGCATCTTTCGGCGTGGAGGATCCAGTTTTAAGAGCCCTGTGCCCAGGAGTCCTTCCTATCCTGGAGGCAGCCCATAAACCGGCAACCAAGAAGTGCTACTCGGCGTGCCTCAACCGCTTCCAGGCTTTTCTCGCCGAGAAGGGCCTAGACGACCATCGGCCTTCGATACCGACGATCCTCTCGTTCTTGCTGCATCTTACCGAACGAGGTTTGTCGCTATCGTCTCTCAAGTCCCACCTGGCAGCCATCTCACGACAGCTGCAGCGGGCAGGTGAAGCCTCCTTGTTTAAGGACAGCTCTGTGAAATCCTTTTTACGGGGTTTCAACAACTTGCATCCCCGGTTCGTTCTCCGACCCCGGGATGGGACCTCGACCTCGTGCTGGCTCGGCTCGCAGAACCACCATTCGAGCTGTTGGCGTTGATCGATCTTCGGCTGTTGTCATGGAAGGTGGCCTTTCTGGTCGCTATCACCTCGGCACGACGACCGTCGGAGCTCGCGGCATTGCGGGTGGACGAACCTTACTTTGTTGTCCACGAGGACAGAGCAGTTCTCCGCACAGATGTGACATTCCTCCCTAAGGTTGTGTCCCCCTTCCATGTTAATGAGGACATTATCCTCCCATCCTTCTGTCAGCTCCCCTCTACCCCAGAGGAGAAGAGACTTCATATGCTCGATGTGCGGAGAGCTTTGCTGTGTTATAAGGACAGGACTGCTCAGTCTCGACGGACTCAGAGACTCTTTGCTGCATATGCCCCGGATAAGGTGGGCCTGCCGATCACGGCGCAACGCTTGTCGCACTGGATCACTTCGACCATCGAGCTTTGTTACCAGTTGGCTCGAAGACAACCCCCCTCGGTCGTCCGGGCTCGGTCGACCAGGGCTATGGCGGCCTCCACGGCTTTTCTTAAGGGGATTCCCCTGGACGCTATTTGCAAGGCGGCCATTTGGAAGAATCCTCAGACATTTGTTTCACATTACAGACTGAACACCAGGTATACACCTGACATGGCCTTTGGGAGGGCAGTTCTGGGCTCATGCCCTGCTTGAACCTTGCAATTTTTTGTGTGCCTTATCGGTACCGAATGTTTTTCGTCGATACTGTATGTTATTGTGAATCTTTCTGACCATGTTATTACTTGACCCCGAGTGTTATTATCGGGCTATTGAATGTAATTGCACCTTTACACTTGATGCCTTCTCTTGCCTAAGGCGCAGGCAACCATTGCACTATACCCTAATGGGCTCATCAGGGGTACTTTTGTGTCATTGTCGATGGCTCTATCTGCAAATGTGTTTTTTTGCACTTGTTGACGAACTGTTTTTGTGTAACCACTTAATGTGCCCTCATTGTTATGAGTGTCTGCAATAATCACCATGTTTTTTTATTCAAGGGTCATGAGTTTATTCAATTGTTGGTCACCCTCACGTGACCGGGAGGATCACGTACTCCCTT